TTTTACCCCTCATTTTTTCCACTTGCTTTAGCATCTTTACACAAGTTTCAGAGTCTCTTCTGACATCCATTTTGGTCTTTTCTTCTTTCTTGTCTTCACAATGATCTTTTTCTTTCTCCCTGTATGATGTTCTTACTGTCACCCCACAACTCTTAGGGTGTTCGGTCTTTTGTGCCTAATACAGCAAATCTGTTCTTCAGATGGTCTCTATATTCAGGTGGGATATATTCAAGGTCTGATTTTGCCATTCATGGGCTTGTTTGAGTTTTTTTATGCTTCATCCTGAACTTGCAAATGGGCAGTTGATGGTCTGTGCCACAGTCTGCCCCTGGCCTTGTTTAGTCAATGATATGGAGCTTCTCTACCATCTCTTTTTACAGATGCAGTCAATTTAATTTCTGTATACTCTATCAGGGGAGGGCCATGTATATTTGTCTTTTATGTATTTAAAAGAGATATTTATAATAAAGAAGTCATTGTTCTTGCAAAATTATATCATGTGATCTCCAGCATCGTTTCTATCACCAAGTCCATATTTTCCAACTACTGATTTTTCACTCTTTGTTTCCAACCTTCACATTCAAATTGCCAGTAATTATCAATACAGGCTAATTGCATGTTAGATCAATTTCAGACTGAAAATGTTGGTAGAATTCTTTTATTTCATCATCACTGGCTTTAGTGTTTGGCACATTAATTTGAATAACAGTGGTATTAACTGGTCTTCCTTGAAGATATATGGATATTATTCTATCACAGACAGCGTTGTACTTCAAGATAGATCTTGATAAGTTCTTTTTGATGATGAATGCAATGCCACTCCTCCTCAATTTGTCATTCATGGCATAGTAAGCAGTGCAACTGTCAGGTTCAAAATGGCCAATTCCAGTCCATTTCAGCTCACTAAAGTCCTAGGATATCAAAGTTTATGCATTCCATTTCTAATGTTCCTAGATTCATACATTGTACATTCAATGTTCTGATTCCTAATGGATACAATGCTTACAGACAGATGTTTCTCTCTTTTTTTGAGTTGTAACCTATCAATAAATGAAGGTCCTAAGGGCTTTACCCCATTGACATCATCAAGGTCAACTCTTACTTTGAGGAAGCTCTTTCTCAGTTGTATTTTGAGTACCTTCCCTGAAGGACTCCTCTTCCGCCACTATATCCGACACTATTCTGGTGATCTTCATCATGTTTCAATATTCAATATTCTGGTACTGACAGAGTTCCACTGTTATTCATAAGATTTTTGGTGACTAAATATTTGGAAGTAGTCTGTCTCTCCTGATTCCTAGTCTGTCTTTGTCTAGAAGTTCAGCTGAAACCTGTCCACTGTGGGTGACCCTGCTGGTATTTAAAATACTCACGGCATTACTTCCAACCTCACAGCAACACAAAAGCCACCACAATAAAACAAACTGACAGACCATTGGTGGATGCTCAAGGTAGACATTCTTTATTAGTTAAGCTAAACTATTTTTTGTTTCAAAGAAGATTATAGAAGATATTTTTGGTTTAATGTTTAAAGGTTATCTCAGGACAATAGTTTCAGGGGTTCATTCACCCTCTATGGTTCTAGAATATCCGGATTACATGAGAATCTGAATTTCTATTCTGCACTTCCTTCCTCTGAGCAGCATTCTTTTAAATAATCTTTGATCAAACTGTTCAGTAGCAATAGCTAGGTACCATCCAGTTCTTCTGATCTCATAACATAGGGCAGGTGTTCATGGAGTCAATTAGCCACATATTGCATTACCTCTTCTATTCCTGACTCCCCTTCTTCCTCCGTTGTTCCAGCCAAATAGAGACCAATTAGATGACTGCTTTCAAGCTTTTATGACCCCAGATACTATGCAATGAACTAGGAGGTAAACTACAATATGAGGACAATTCACTGGAATATCCAACTAAACCTTAACCCTAAATTTTCAGATCAAAGAACCAAATCCTATGTGGTGTACGCTTATATGAAAAGCAGTCTCAATAACCCCTTTTTAAATTTGTTTTTTTTGTCATTGTTGTTAATATTTCTGCCAAGTAAACTTTTTACAGGTATACAGTATATTGACAGCAATTATATTAATCAGCTGTACAACCCTATCCTTAATCCATGTGATTTTTCCATCACTGTAAACCAAAACTCAGTACTCCATTAGCAACAGTCCTCTCCTTTCCCCTTCCACCTTGCTCCTGGTAACCACTAAGAAACTTCAGACTTATATATTTGCCTGTTCTTAGTTGGAGTCCTGGTGTGGTGTTGTGGGTTAATGCCCCAGACTACAAAACCATTTGAACTGCAAGGCCCACAGTTCAAGCTCACCAGCTGCTCCTCAGAAACCCTATATAGGGTTTTCTGGTAAAGTATCTATTCAAGTCCTTTGACCATTTTATGACTGGTTATTTGTCATTTTGTTGTTAAGTTGTCAAAGTTTTACATATATTTTGGCTATATTATATTCATATTGGATGCATGGTTTCCAAAGATATTTTCCCAGCTGACAACTTGTCTTTTCACAGTTTTGGTAAAATCTTTTGGTGAATAAAATTTTTAACTTTTTTGAGATCCCATTTATTTATTTTGTCTTTTGCTGTTTGTGCCTTTCTATTTTTAAAGAAACTGCCCAACAGTCTTGTCCCTACAAAGCAAGAGGCCTAGAATAGTTAGAGTAATGTTGAAAAATAAAAGTCAGAGGATTCACACTTCGTGATTTTAAAACATATTAACAGTTACAGTCATCAAAACAGCCTTGGACTGGTTCACAATAAATACACAGACCAATGGAACAGAACTACAGGTCCAGAAATAAACCCACATTCCCATGTTCAACCGATTTTGGACAAGGGTGTTAAATTCAATTGATGGAGAAAGAAGAGGCACTTCAATAAATGGTGTTAGGAAAATTAGCCTTCCACATGCAGAAAAATGAAACAGGATCCACGGCTCATACCATACACAAAAACAAATTCAACATAGATTAAATATATGTGAAAACTAAACCCATAAAATTCTTATAAAGTAATTTTTATGAGTCGTTAACCTCAATTTAGGCAAGTTTTGAGATGTAACTTGTGGTTTATTAGATATACAGAAAACAGAGGAAAAAGTTAAATGACAACACTAGGAATCAATCAGACAAAGAGGATGAAAGAAAAAAATTGGGGGAAATTCTTCTAGATTAAAGAGTCTAAAGAAATAAAAACCATTCCATAACAACTGAAGAAACTTGAATATGAAAGATAATAAATGATATTATGAAATGCTTGTTTGTGTGCTCTTATATATGATAATAATACTGTTGTTTTATCCTTATTTTCAAGAAATGTATACTGAAGAATTTTAAAAGTTGTGTCAGGAAGTCAACCACTTACTTTCAAATAGAACAGAAAAACTATTAGATCTAAAGGAGAAAATTAAATCTAGGATGTAGGTATACCTACATTAAAGCATAAACACCTACATAAAACACCTACATGTGTTTATTTGAAGGTAGGGCTACAATTATTTTTAAAAATATAATCTGCATAACGTGGGATTTATTGAAGAAGCTCAACAATGTTTCCTGAGAATCTCAGCAATATTTCCTGAAAACTGCTTATGGGAGTAAGTACATTCTAGATCTTTCATATATCACGTTTTAAAAAATACTTTGAATTTAATTTTACAGATTTTTCCATTACTCTTATAATTTGATCTTGTCAATGGTAGTTTTAAAAACCATGATAACTTTCCTAAACATATCTCCAAATCAGTAAGAGGTTACCGTTTTGAACTAGCATAATGTTCAGCTGCCAGTTAAATTATATTAGACTAAGTAAATTATATTGGAGTCCTGGTGTGGCGTTGTGAACTAATGCGCCAGACTGCAAAGTCATTTGAACCATAAGAGCAGTGGTTCAAGCTTACCATCGCAGCTTGAAAGCCCTCTACATGGTGGGTATGGGTCAGAACTGACTCGATGGCACTTAACAACAAGTAAATTATATTAGAACTAACTTCTCCTTAACACTACTTTCTGAGGTTGGTTCACACAACACACCTGGTATCAGAATTCTTCTACATTAGTCATACTACTGAATCAAAATGTACAAGAGTAGATTTTCAACTGTACATGTTCTCTCAAGAACCCATCATCTAAAACAATTAACTGTGAGGAAGTTTACACTCAAAATTCCTGGACCACCAACTACATTTCTAGTTCTTCTTCAATTGATTGCTTATTTCCATGGTCCAAAATGTGATTATTAATCTCTCACCAGTCTCCAACATATCAGTCTTTGCAAGGATATTTTTATTTAAGTAAATTAAAAACTTGTAAAAAAGCAAACATAAAAAAAAATATATATGGTACATTAGTGACTCTAATGTACCATTAAACTTAAATCATGGTTTGAAGGGTATCATCTTCTGTACAATTTATTCAAATTTATCAGTACCTTTTCAGTATCCTGGTTATGTTTACTAGTTGGTGATGCCGGTATAGAGAGATCAGTTTCCTCATCCCCTGAATGCTGTCTGCCAGATAGAAAATCCAGTAGTTGACTCTATAAGAAATGCAGAGTGTTACTAATGAATTGGTATACTGACTATGAAAAACATCTTACACCTAATACCACTTAAAACCAATTATGTTCTAGTACATAGCATATTACTTGACATGTGCCTGGCAGTCAAAAAGCATACCTGTAATTTGGCACTGTGGCCTAATGTGTCA